TAGAACAAAGCGTTCTTGCGTTGAGGGACGACTTGAGTGGAGGCCCAATGTCCGTCTACTGCACGGCAGGGCTCTTGTTGAACAGGTCAAATGGTAGACATTAAAGTCCTTGTCCAGAGGAGATCTGTATTCCCCACCCCTCTTCCCACTGGTTCTAGTTCTGTGTGTGGAAGCACATGCAGGGGTAAGGCTGAATGATGCAGAGGTCAGGGACACACGTGTGAAAATGTGGGCCTCAGCACATATCAGCAATGCTTTCAGTCTTCCAAGCCCCCACTTCCCCGTTCTGTCTGCGGGAACGGGAAGGCAGCCCCACCCTCCACTCCCCACACTCACCCGTGATGAGGTTGTCCACAAGGGTGGTGGGCATGCAGAAGATCCCCACCAGCAGGTCGCTGACAGCCAGGTTGAGGATGAACATGTTGGTGACGGTGCGCATGTGCCGGTTCTTGAGCACGGTGAAGCAGACCAGGGCGTTGCCCACCATGCAGAGGAGGAAGATGAGCACGTAGGCCCCAATGAACATGGCTGCCACCGGCAGAGAATGCTGGTAGTAGGGGGACGTGAGGTTGGCGGCTGGGGTGCCTTCAGTACTGCTCCCATTCTGACTTCCCGGCCAGCTGCCGTTGAGAGCTTCAGAAGGCTCCCCTAGGACTGAAGGAACAATGCTTCAGGATACCAGACAAAGGACAGGGACTGGCTTCCCACCACTGGTGACATCCCGTTATGGCCCAAACCTGATCGTTCCCTACTCCCCTGAGGCCTGACTCCCCCAACCCCAAAGGCAACGGGAAGCACTGATTCGAAACGTTCAACACATCTGATCACTTGTCTTAGAAATACCACAAGTGGATGGTTTTATCAACAAGTCTATTCTCTGACAGTTTGGGATGCTCGCAGTCCAGATTCCAGGCATCGGCTCCGAGGGAAGGCTTCTTTTTCTGTTGACGCTCAGGGAGGTGTTTGTCTTCTCTCAGGGTCTGAGGGCCATATGTCCCTTGGATATCTCCATCGTGTTAAGCATCCATCTTCCAGAGGAGGGACCTGGATCCAAAGGATGCACTTGGCCCATGAGTCCTTTTTCTTTGTGGTATTGGGTCCTTCCATCTCTGTTCACTTCTCGCTCCCTGTATCCCTTCTAAGAGAAACAATGACGCAGGCCACATCCCAGGAAAACTCTGTAACCTCCAAGCCCCTTGCGACAGATTGGCTGATCATTCAGACCACACCGTGGGGGGATTGCATCAATGCTTAACTGCCAGATTATAACATGACATAACTGCTCAACCACTAAGGATCATGGCCCAGGCAAGTTGACACATACTGTGGTGGCACATTAAATTCATGGCCTCATCCGATTCTTCATATCACACCTCCAACCCCATCTTGTCTGTTCCTCGAGGTGGTTTATTTTCAATTTGCGTTGCTGCCCCACTCTAGTCTCATTACTTCTCAGCCCTGCTGTGTGCCCCAGAGGCTCCCCACAAAGGCCCGCTTGGTCCAAGTTCCTTGCCCTCTGTTGGCCGGCTGGGTTTAGTCCACGGAAGGCACTGAAGGTGATCAAAGAGCAGATGACAGGAAGTCTGGGTATTTCTTTCCTGCCTCTCTCCTTGCCTGGCCTGGGTTGTACCAATGGCTCTTTTCCTCTGTGCTCACAGCTGCCACGGTAGCTCTTGCCCTATTAGCCAAACAGCTTCCTCTTTGGCTCCAACAGGCTTACAGGTGTTAAGGTCTCCTGCGGTTACTAATCTTGGGGTGTTTCGCCACCTCTTCCTGATTCCCTTTAGCCTTCTCTTCACTTTTATAAAGTCCCTCCATTAAACTCTCATCAGGTTAAACTCCTGATTATACCGCCTGCTTCCCTCTGGGACGCCGCCTACTATCCACTCAAAATCTTTGGTGCCCTTCCCGTTGTCTCCCCCTCGGACCCGAGCTGGGAAGGCAAGAAGGCAGTCGAAAAGGCATGAAGGAAAGGAGAATCTGGGCCAGGGCTAAGAAACAGCCCCGCCAAACCCAACCCATGACCCCTGAGTCCATTCTAGCTCATGGTGACCGTACAGGGCAGAGTAGAACTCCCCCATGGGGTCTCCAAGGTGCAAAGTCTTCCCGGAAGCAGGGAGCCACATTTTATTCCTAAAGGAGCAGGGGTGCACATGAAATTCACCAGGAGAATGACAAAAGGCGAGCCTAACACCCATCTTCACACCTTCCCTTCTTGGTGATCAGCGGCTTCATTTGCACTGCGTTTCACAAAACCTTTCCATACTTACCCAACACCCACGTGTCAGCGAGTTTGTTGTACTTGGCGGCTTCCGTGTTGCTATACTCCTGGAAGCTATGCCACCAGTATTTCAATACCATCAAGGTCACCCATGGCGGGCGGCTTCTAGACTGGGTAGAAAACCTAGTCATCTACTTCTATAAAGTAGACACCGAAAATCTTATCTGATGCAGGGTTTGAAAGGCTCTCTAGGCTTGACACAACACACACAATAGCTGCAACCGTGGACTCACACTCACACGAGACTGGGCCAGGTTCTCTTCCATGATATTCAAGGTCACGATGAGCAGAGCTGACCTGATGGGAACTAACAGTAGCAACAACCCATCCCTCAGGTCATCTACCTTGTCCAGCCTCCCCGTGAAGTACTCTGGTCCATGACCAGCCCCATTTGAAGTGGGAGACCTGGCATCAGACAGCGACCCCGTGGTGTGCCCAAGATCACACAGTGAGTGTGCAGTGAGCTGGCGTTGCTCTGTGAGCAGCTCTAGGAGGCTCTGCACCAGCCCCGGGCTCCGGCGTGTGTTTCCCCAGCCGCACTGGGAACAGAGCAGCTCAGTGTCCAACCCCAGCTCTTCTGGGACATCATTAGATGTGGTGACTCACCATGTTGTCTCATACACTCTCCACATGCCATCCTCTGGGACACATTGTGGCCTGTTCCCGGGGATGAGCAGTCTTTGGGGAATTTTCTGTTGCATCCAGAGCTTAGCCACTGGCCTAGAGGACCAGTGGAGATGGGGGACCTGGAGGCTAGACAGACCTTTGGGAGATCTGGCCCTGCGAGGGCTGCAAGAACCAACAATAGGTGCAGCTGGGCTCTCTGGTGGGAGCGGAGCAGTGGAAATCTTGTGTACTGTGTGTCGGTCATAAGAGGAGATAACATTTCTCAGACCCTCCAGGGTCTTCCAAATGCACGCAAACCTTTTTCTTAATTGCTTTATGATTGTTTTAAAAATTACTAATTCAGCATTTTCATGTGTACATTTCAGCGATATTGAATGTTGTGAAACGATCACCACAGTTTCCAACATCTGTATGTTAATGTCGAAAATGCCAAACGTACACAACAGAGGAGAGTCACAGTTTTAAAAACACTGGTATGGTAGGGCAGAATGAAAACAAGCTTTGTGCTTCTATTACCGATTTCTGCATACGAAACCAGCCCCAAGGTTAGCAGCTTGGCAACACAGGTAGCCTTAGGGTCCCTCGTACAGTTGTGAGGGACGGGAAGGTCTTACATGACCTCACTTACATGCCTGGTGGCCTCTCCTCCTCTAGGAGGCTAGATTGGGCTTCTGCACTGCAGGGTGGGCTTGGGGTCCCGAGAGAGCAAGAGAGAAAGCTCCTCAGCCTCTAAAACCTAGGCTCTGGGATTTGCACCACATTTGTGCCGAATTTCCCTGGCTGAAGAAAACCCTAATGTCAACTGGGATTGAAGGAGGTGGATAACTAGCTCCCAACTCTTGATAGAAGGTACACCCACATGGCAAAAGAGGTGTGGACACAGGACGCATGACTGATTAACGTCCATTATTAAAGCATCGAGCACCATGCTCACCTTTCCTGTGGGGATGTGACTACTACATCTTCTTTTGGTTTTTAAGTCCCCCTACTCCCCCACAATTCATTGGCCATGAACCGTATACCAAATGGCATTGATGCAGCTCCACTCATGGCGGCCCCACGTGTGTACATGTGGAATTGTGCTCTGTAAGCTTTCCAATGGCCTTTCTTCCTGGCAGATTACCAGTTCTGCTCACCTGGCAACTCCATTTGTCATAGGAGCTCGATCTTTTGTCTCTACTTTCCCACAGACAGGTGTCTGTCTGTGATGTCATTTAGCTTGTTCTACAACCTGCCCTCTGTATTTCCTGTCATTGGTGGCAGGAAACTAGAGTCTAGATTCAGATTTGATCTGGGGACAAGGCCGCTTCATCTGTAGAGCACTTTTCTTCCTATACTTTACCACAGTGACTGATGGTCTCTCTTTTTATGATGCTGAACTTCCTCAGGGGGTGGGGTGGGGGGCGAAGTCAGGTAGTATCAAATGGATTCCTCTGTTCAAAAATATTAGCTTTTTGGCCTAATATTTTCAGCTGTTACTGATGGTCATTGTACTAAAAAGAACTAGTTGACATTTAACCATTTCAAGAGGTAGAATATGAGCAAGAACCAATGGTGCTGAAGGAAGAAGTTCAAACTGCACTGAAAGCATTAGCCCCAAACAAGGATCCAGGGGTTTATGGAACAGCAATTGAAATGTTTCAACTGGCTGATGAAGCACTGGAAGCACTCACTCATCTCTGCCAGGAAATTGGGAAGACAGCCACTCAGTCAACTGACTGGAAGAGATCCATATTTGTACCCATTCCAAAGAGAGATAAGCCAACATAATGTCCAAATTACAGAACAATATCATTGATATCACATGCAAGTAAATTTTTGCTGAAGATCATCCAACGATGGTTGCAGCCATACATTGACAGGGAGTTGCGAGAGGTTCAGACTGGATTCAGAAAGGGATGTAGAACAAGGGATATCATTGTTGAATTCAGTTGGATCTTGGCTAAAAGCAGAGACTACCAGAAAGATGTTTACTTGTGTTTCATGGGCTATGTCAAGGCATTCAGCTGTGTGGATCATAGCAAGCCAAGACTAGCCTTCAGACGAATAGGAATTCCATAACACTACATTGTGCTCCTGCAGAAACTGTACAGGGATTGAGAGGCAGTTGTGTCAACAGAACGAGAGCAGACCACATGCTTTTAAAATCAGGAAAGGTGTGCATCAGGGTTGTACCCACTCACCATACTTATTCAAACTGTCTGCTGAGCAAACAACCAGGAAGGGAAGGCTGGCTTACATGAAGAAGAACGTGACATCAGGATTGGAGGAAGACCTGTTCACAACCTTCGACACCACCTTGCTTGCTGAACATGAGGAGGACCCGAAGCACTTCCTGGTGAAGAGCAAGGACCGCGACCTTCAGTATGGCGATGATTCAAAGGAAAGAAGCCCAAATCCTCACCATGAGCCCACTAAGGCCACCTCAGGGGAAACGGAGCAGAGGGTGAAGTTGTCGAGGACTTTGCTTTACTTGGATCCACAATCAATGCTCATGGAAGTGGCAGGAAAGAGAGCAAAAGATGCGTTGCATTTGGATCAATCTGCTGCACGAGACCTCCTGAGAGGATTGAAAAGCAAAGATGTTACTTTGAGGACTAAGGTATGCCTGGCCCAAGCCATTGAGCTTTCAGTTGCCTCACACTCACGTGCAGGTTGGAAATTGAATAAGTGTGGTTAGGTTTATTGTGCTAACTAGGCCTACATAGGAACAGGTGGGAGGAGTTTAATCAGGTTGCAGCTTGATGGGAGGGAAACTGAGATAAAGACTTCACTGCCGGCATCCCGTCCTGGTGATCGGACCAGCGCTCTGCTGCCTGAGCTAGTCCTTTGCCTCGACTGTATGCTGCACTACTGTGGGCCGAGCCAACCTGTGGATCGTGTTGCCTTACTGTGCGTGCATCGCTTGTGGTTCCATCGAGACCTGCTTCACCACACTTCTTGAGGATCTTACGGAATGCTTCTCTACGCTCAGCTCCACTGGCTTCTGCTCACCTCAACTTCTCATCTGCCTGCTGTTGCTGCCCCACACTATGTGCCTACTTCCGTGACCTTGGACCAGTAGCCCTTGGACTTGAAGGACCTTCATTATATTAACTGTTCCACCACTTAAGTGAGTTGAACTGAGCCCTCTGTATGACTGTGTGGGCTAATTAGCTGTTATATTCCTTCTTGCTATATAAACCTGTATATATATATATTCATAAGAACCCTGTCTAACACAATAAGGAAGACTGAAGAGGAATGGATGCATTTGCATTATGGTGTGGGCATCAGTCTGTATACCTGGGCCAGCTTCCAGCACAGGAGGCAGACACTTTCTCCAGAGGGAAACACATCCTCCTTTTCCTGGCATCTCCCCTGGGCCAGAGGTAGGGCAGGGTGGAGGCATGCAGGTCTATTGCTCCACCTGGGCTCCATTCCAACAGCCAGGGAGGCCTCATTAACACCCGGACAGGTCCTTTCTGGGAATCTGCCCTTGTGAATACATGCTGTGAAAATGTCATCCGTTGGACCCAATTAAGCCACTCCCCTACTGGGGGGAACTTCTAGACGTCTCAGAAGGGAATCTTGGTTGCCTCTGGGAAATGCTTCAGTTGTCCAGTCCTGCGCCACAGGATGTCCAGAGCTGGCCTGAAGATGGAGATGCAGCGGCTCTCCGCGGGTGGTCCATGACCAGCAGCATCTGCACCACTTAGGGATTTGCTAGAATTGTGTGTTCTCCAGCCTCACTCCTCCTCCATGACATCAGTCACCTTGAAGGTGCCCCAGTCATCGGTTAGGGTTTTTGTTTTGCATTCATTTCTCTCTTCTTAAAAAAAAAAAATCATGGTGCAAATATATCCAACAAAACGCATGCAAAGTCAACAATTTTTTGGTATAATTCAGTGGCAGTGATAATATTTAAGTCATACAAGCACACTATCTATCTTTTCCTTGTTATTCTATCACCATTGACATAAACTCTATGCCCTGAAGCAAAAACAACCTCATCCTTCTCCCTCAGAGCGGCTGGTGGTTTTGAACTGCTGGCATTGCAGTTAGCAGCCCAACACGTAACCAGAGGGTAGGAAATAGGATTAAAATTGATCATGTAAAAATGAAACCTGTAACTGTCATAATTCCAAAACCAAGATGAAGTCAATGTCGGTGAATCAAGTCGTAACTAAGTCAATGATCATACCTATTGGGTAATTCCCACACGGGCCACAGTTCCTCTCTGGAAACCAGATTCCTCACTGGTAAAATTCGGATCAGTTAATGCAAACAGAAGAGAGGATGCCGTGAAGATTCTGATCAACGTGTGAGTATAACAAAACCCCCAGGTAGCTTAGTCGCAGCAGTACTGCCAGGATTGATCGACACAGCAGGTATAATGTTTCTGTCTGAAAGATGTGGGGAAAGAAAATCACCAGTGAATGTCGGTAGCACAGGATCCGTCTGGACGTGGTTC